TTGACATATGAAGATCCTTTCGAATCGATTGATTCGATAGGATCTTGACATATCAAGATCCTTTCGAATGGATTGATTCGATAGGATGTTGACATATCAAGATCCTTTCGAATGGATTGATTCGATAGGATCTTGACATATCATGTCCGATCCTGGCCCCGATTCTCTCTCTCTCTCGAACTGTGTATCTGGCGTGCTCAATCGATTGATCGATCGATCGATCAATTCGTCAATCAATCGATTGATTGATTGATTGATTGATTGATTGATTGATTGACCGATTGATTGACATATCAAGATCCTTTGCGATCGATCGTTGATTGATTGATTGATTGATTGATTGACAGACACACACGCACACACACCTCCGCATCTCGGCGTCGCCACCTCCGCTTCCCGATCCCCCTTCCGTCGCCACCTCCACATTTGCCACGTGGGACTATATGGTGAGGCCGCACTTACCACGTGGCGTACTTGCCGCTCCCATCGCCACCTCAGCACTTGCCACGTGGAACTATATGGTGAGGCCGCACTTGCCACGTGGCGTACTTGCCGCTCCCGTCGCCACCTCGGCGTCGCCACCTCCGCACTTGCCCGTGGGACTAGATGATGGGGCAAGTACGCTACCTCGACGCCGAGATGGCGTCGCCACCTCGACGTCGCCACCTCGACGTCGCCATCCCGCTCCCGTGGCCACCTCGGCGTCGCCACCTCCGTACTTGCCACGTGGGACTAGATGATGGGGCAAGTACGCCACGTGGCGATGCGGAAAGTGCGCCACGTGGCACGTGCGCCACGTGCGATGTTTGGCACGTGCGAAGTGTAGTACCCATCGCCACCTCCGCTTTCCTATCCCGATCCCGCGCCCGTGGCCACCTTCGCTTCCCGATCCCGCTCCCGATCCCATCGCCACCTCGGTGTTGCCATCCCGCTCCCATCGCCACGTGGCGTCGCCACCTCGACTTTGCCATCTCGGCGTTGCCATCCCTCTCCCATCGCCACGTGGCAAGTACGCCACATGGCGTCGCCACCTGGGCGTTGCCATCCCGCTCCCATCGCCACCTCGGGGTCGCCACCTCCGCACTTGCCACGTGGGACTAGATGCTGGGGCAAGTTCTCCACGTGGCAAATGCGTCCTCCCCATAGCGGGGGATTCGGTGAGGGCGCACTTGCCACGCGAGACTATATGGTGAGGCCGCACTTGCCACGTCGCGTACTTGCCACATCGCGTACTTGCCGCAAATGCGTGCTCCCGATATCGAGGGATACCGATATGGAGATGGGCTATATCGATATCGAGGGATACCGATATCGAGATGGGCTATATCCATATCCAGGGATACCGATATCGAGGTAAATTCTTTTGCCTCTTTTTTTTTTCAATGAATCGATCAACCAATCAATCAATTATTAAGGATTGATTAATTGGTCAAATGGCACCCAAAAAAGGGAGAGAGAGGGTGTGGAGAGAAGGAGGGTGTGGAGAGAGAGAGAGAGAGAGAGAGAGAGAGAGAGGGAGAGAGATTGAGCCGCCCCGCACAGACATACACATACACAAACTTTTCACAATGAATCCACGTACGCATAGACACACACACACACGCATGCGCACACACACGCATAGACACACACACACACACACATGGACACGGGGGAGGGGGGATGGA